CCCTCCCTCTTGCCTCCCGCAACCCTGCAACCCCGGGCTTCACACATCCTAGACAAGTGCTTTACCACTGAACTACAGCCCCCCTACCCACTGAACAACACCTCCCTACCCTCTAAACTACACCTCCCTACCCACTGAACTACAGCCTCCTCGCCCCACTGAACTACAGCCTTGCTACCCCACTTACATTTTTTTATCTGAGACAAGTTCTCTGTGAGTTTCTCGGGCTGGCCTCAAGCTCACTCTGCAGCCCCACCTTGGTAGCTGGATTCCAGGTCCGCCCCACCAGGCCTGCTCAGCAGCCAACCCCCCCAGCTCCCACTTCCTCAGTATCTCAGGGTCCGAGCCCTTTGATTCAACCTTGCCTGGGAGCTTCTCGTCCCTAGCTACGATAGGAAGGCCACACCTTCGCTCTGGACTAATGGTGATGTAGACATTTGGCCGGTGGTTTAGTTTTTCCCAAGCTCCAGTTGTTTGAGATATCAGAGCAGCCACTCAAAAATGCTGAATCTGGCTGGCTGTGGCGGTGCATGTCTTTAATCCCAGTGCTCTGAGAGGCAGAGGCAGGCGGGTCTCTATGGGTTCGAAGCCAGCCTGGTCTTCATAGTGAATTCTAAGGACTGTCAGGGCTACACAGTGATACTTTCTCTCAAAATAATAATTAATAATAATTAATAATAATTATAATGTTATTTTGTGTCATGCCCTGTTTTTTTTTTTTTTTTTTTTTTTTGCCTGCCTATCTATCTAGCCAGCCACACTGGGCATTGAGCTCAGTGCCCGCACATACAAAACAGGTACTTTGCCAGCAAATTACATCCATCCCCAGCACGGTCCCCAGCGTTGACGTCAGTGTTGCCGGCTGAGTAGGTCAGCTCCTCTTTGTGCTGTGTCAAGGCCTACGTAGCCAGCTCTTGCCTGGACCTCTAGTGTTCACAATGCTCCTTATCACCACGGGGACTTGTGGGCACCCTACAGCCGTTCATAGCTGTGCCCCGGAGCTGCGGATGCTGTAGACTCCCGCACCTGCCCCCCTGCCCTGGAATGCTTTTCTCCTCTCTCACATTCTGCTCAAATTGGTTTTCCTTGAGTCTCTTACATCAGGTCCTTATTACTGTGATAAACTCTTACAAAAACAACGTAAGGAAGGCAGGGTTTGCTTTGGCTCAGTCTGAGGGGACAGCCCGGTATGTGACAAAGTTACTCAGGAGTAAGGGTGGCCGGCTGTGTGTGGGCACAGAGTCAAGAAGCAGACAGACGGGAACACTGATGTTCAGCTCTTTCCTCCTTTTTATTCAGGGCAGCACCCCAGCCTCATGGACCATGCCAACCATACTTAGGGTGTCTTAGGGTGTCTCAGTTAGTTCAGCCTGGATATTCCCTCATAGACGCACCTACAGGTCTGTTTCCATGGTGATTCTAAGTGACAAGTTGACAGTCCTTTGCCCCTTTTATTCCCCCAACCTCCTCAAACCTCCTAAAGTCTTGACACATTCTTGTCCTCAGGCGTGCCAGGCAGTGTCCTCCCGCTGCGTGTCACCCTCAGCCCTTGGCACATTCTCATGTAAACACACTGCATCTGCCCTTACTCCTTGGCCCTTTAGTGCCTAAAGACAGCACTGTGTCGTGCAGGTGTCTCCCTGCGTGCCAGCCTTCTATTGTTGTGACAAAATGAGGTCACATAAAAGGAAGATTTACCTTGGCCCCGGTTTCAGTTCATGGTCACTCGGTCCGATCATCTGAGTCTGTGCTAGGCAGGACGTGGCGGGAGCAGGTGGTGCCACAGAGTGGCCGCGCGGGAGAGGGAAGGGCGGTGATAAGTCTGTCAGGTCATCATGTCTTCCAACGAGCCCTACCTTCTAATGTCCCAGCTGCCGCCCGAGAGTACATTCAGCTTGGGGCCAAGCCTCCCCACACGAGCCTTCAGATGGTGGCACCCCTTATTCATGAAGGATCCGGTTCAAAAACTGCAAATGCCTAAAGCAACAGACAGTGCACACACACACACAGACACACACACATGCGCACACATTTATATATGTTTATTGTGGTGGTAATTCCCCTGGGAACTTTAAAATCCCACAGTGTCTGTCACACAGGTAGACCTGGTGCTCAGGACAGGGTTGTCAGTAGGATTCCTGTTGCCGAGCATGGGCACCAGGACCTCCACCCTCTTTAACTTTGCAGTGACAGTTTGGCTACTAACAGGGTCCTGCCATTCTCGTGAGGATGTCTTTTTTTTTAAATATTTTTTTTCCTTTATGTGTGGCTGTTTTTCCTACATGTATGTTTGTGCACCATGTGTGTTCTTGGTGCCTCTGGAGGCCAGAAGAGGGTGTCAGATCCCCTGGAACTGGCATTACAGATGACTGTGAGCCACTATGTGGGTGCTGGGAATTGAACCCAGGTCCTTTAGAAGAGCAGCCAGTGCTATTACTGCCTGAGCCTTCTCTCCACCCCACGGATGCCTTTGATCTTTGAGGCCTCATCTGCATACTTCTGGCACTAGACCACTGGGCACTGGACATGGACTGTTGGAGAGCATGAAACTGGACCACGTGACCACCCCTGTCACCTGGCCCTGGATGCCCACAGCACAAACCCTTCTTTGTCTGGGGACAGACTCCAGTGGCTTGTATTTCAGTATCTGTGGCTCCATCACCACCAGGGGACGCCTGTGCATCCTAATGAAACTTTCCCCATTTGCATCCTGCCATGGTTGTGCCATCTTATGTCTGAAGACCTGCATGGATTGGAGCAGACCCTTGGATGGCCGGGCTCCAAGTGCAACCTGAGCTCCCTGGTCCATGCTGCTGCCGTTGGTGGTTTAATCTTAATCGTCAACATGGCTGGATTTAGAAATACCATGGAAACACTGCTGTGTGTATCTATGAGGGTGTTTCCAGAAAGGTCACCAAGGAAACACACCGCTGGGTATACCTATGAGGGTGTTCCAGAAAGGTCACCATGGAAACACACTGCGGGTGTATCTATGAGGGTGTTCCAGAGAGGTCACCATGGAAACACACTGCTGGGTGTATCTATGAGGGTGTTCCAGAAAGGGTTTAAGTCAAGGGATAACTTGCTCTAATTTGAGCTGCACTAGCCTGTGGGCTGGGGTCCCAGACTGAATAAAATAGAGAATGGGATCTTGGAGGAAGAGTTGGGGTCTGAGAGCCAGTAGAAAATTCAGCCCATCACAGTGTTCTGCCAGTAGGTAGCACCACTCTGCCCATTAGGCAGCTCTCTGTTTCCTGACCAGATGCGATGTGACCAGTGTCCTTATGCTTCTGCCGCCATGAGAGACCGTCTCCCCACAAACCCTCTCTCCTTAGGCTGCTGCGTGCCAGCTGTGTAACCACAGCAACAAGAGAAGGAACTAGCACACTCGTGTGTGCACATGCGCAGTGCAAGGAACTAACACTAGTATATGTGTGTACATACACAGTGCAAGGAATTCATACCCACTTGTATATGTGTGCACATGCGCAGTGCAAAGAACTAGTACACACTCATATCTGTGTGCACACATGCAGTGATTTTCATATATATAATAAAGCTTACTCATCAACAGCAATATGATAGAACACCAATAACAGCGTGTTATACAAGTGAAGAGGGGCCAGCAAGATGGCTCAGGAGGTCAAAATGGGTGCTGGGTAAAGAGTCCTGGAGCCCAAGGTGAAAGGAGAGAACAAACTCGTGAAAGTTGTTTTTTGATCATGTGTCGTAGCATGTGTTCAAACACACACATGGGTGCACGCATGTTCTCTACACACACACACACACACACACACACAACATCTTACGTGAGAGTCAGCCACTTTCCCCTTTCTTTCCTAAGCTACAGATCTCAGCTCTCACTTACAGGAAGCCTTATAAATCTTGACCTTCTGTGTCTCCAAGTCTCCTCCTCTCCTCTTGCCCTTTGGGGCCATTCTTAGTTAAAACAAGGGTCACCAGCAGACAGGCACTCACTGCAGTGACCTCAGGGAGTACTTTGGCAGGTGGTGAGAATGCCAGGAGACACTGGGCTAAAGTGACACAGACCTGGGGCAGGATGGAGGGAGGTGAACTCTCACAGAGGCTCAGGAGGGTACGAAACTGAGAACTTGTTATGCTGGGGGTGGTGGTCCACACCGGCAGCCCCAGCACTTAGGAGGGTGAGGCAGGAGGGCCACAGAATCCGAGGCCAGCCTGGGCTACATAGTGAGACATGTCTGCCCTCCCCAAGCCTGGGGTTCAATTCCCAGCACCAAATGAATTAGACACTTTGGTTGTTAGCTGTAATCCCAGTGCCATGGTTGCCGAGCCTTGAGGATCACAGTGAATTCCAGGCCAGCCTGAGCTACAGAGGGAGACCCTGTATCAACCCCTTTTGCAAAGCCTTGGGTTCAGTCCCCAGCACAGAATAAACCAGGTATGATGGTTGCTTGCCTGTTGTCCCAGCACTGGGGAGGTGGAGGCTGACTGATTAGAAGGTCAAGGTCATCCTCAGCTACCTAGTGATTTCTAGGCCAGCCTGGAACACAGGAGCCCCTCTCTCCTCCACCCCAAACAACGCAACAAAATGTGCCCTGCCCCATAATTATTATTTTTTTCCTGTAACTTTCTACTAGATATTTGCAGGATGAAGTTGATTCTAAGTACCGACCTATGGAAGATGCAACCTAAGATGAGGGGCCCGCTGGAATTTGTGGTCCGGTATTCAGTGCGGTTTAACCCGGTATGGCGTTCTGCCGCCAGGCGGCGCTGCTCTGACGCCCCAGACAGCCACCTGCTGGAGCCAGACCTTCCATCAGGAGGCGCAGGTCTCCAGGGCCGCCCTTCCTGGCCCAGGCGCTTCCACCCTGCGGGCCAAGTCTTCAGGAGGCGCCTGGCCCCAAGGCTCTCCTCGGCGACTGATGATGTTGAACTCTGCACTTCTGTGATTGGTGTAGCCGAAGCGAGACAGGCAACTATTGGAGATGCTCTGTGGAAACGCGATATGAGTCTGGAAGGGAGCCGGGAGCCCAGGACTGCGTAGTAGCTCCCATTTACCCAGGGTGTGAAGGTATGGACCACGAGCAGAAGTCAGGAGCCGGGCTCCTGCAGATGCTGCAGCTTCTGTGGCTGCTGCCCCACTCCTGGGCGTTGCCCGCAGGTAAGCCCCTGGCTCCCCTTTGCGTCCGTCCCGAGGGCAGTGAAGACGATAACAGACTCAGGGGAGAGGGGTTGCTGTTCACGGATGGCAAGCCGCCCACGTATTGCACACGCCCCGTCTGTGTGCTAGCCACTTTTCAGACGAAGAAAAGAGACCCGGCTGACTTAAGAGACCTGTGCGAATTCCCAACGTGGGAAAAGGACAGAGCGGGGGTTGGAACAAAGTAAGAGTTATTGCCTTGCCAAGTGTGGTGGCACAGGACAGTAACCCCAGCGCTTAGAAAAGTGAGGGCAGGATGATCTCAGGCCAACCTCCGCTGCATAGCAAGACCTGGTCTCAGCTGTCCGCACAGTGATTAACACTCCTCCAGTCAGGGTCCTAGCCTAGTCTGTCGTCAATTCACGTTCTTGACAGGTCTCTTACGTTTCTTATCAGTTACAGTCGGGGTGGCATGTAAGCGCAACCCAGAAGGTCCCGCCACGGTGTGTTTGTTATTCTGGGTGCTGGTTGAAAGATTCCTTCTGCCTGGGGGATTCCTGTCAGGAGTTTCAAAGCAGATGGTTATTGCCTGCAGCCAGGGGTTGAGGTCCCCCTTCTGTCAGTGCACGGTTGGGAGGGTTTAGTCAGGGAAGAGGCTGTCAGTGAGAGAACCCGAAGTGGCCTGAGAAGGTCCAGAGACTGCCTTACTTTATACTTGTGACAGGGGTAGCCTAGGCCCATGTCATTAGGGTGCAGGGAGGCCACGGCCCTTCCCCACACCTCTCAAGGCAGGAGTCACACCCATGGCTTCCGAATTAGATGAAGGTGTCCACTGTGCTGGGGTCCTGGGCTTGGTGAGGAGGTCAGGTTTGTTCATGGTGCCTTACAGAGTGGCCACCTCTGTTGCTTCCTTCTGCAAACATTTGCTTTCTGTCTGTGTAATTTCCTGAGATAGTCTCACGTGCCACCGGCTGGCTATATGTCACTGAGGCTGCTTCTGGACCCCTGATGCCCCTCCCAAGTCCTGGCAGCACAGATGTGTGCCACTGTGCCCAGCTCTGTTCTTTCCAGGCAGAGACGGTTGCTTTCCTGTGTGTGGGGAGGTTGGGAAAGAGTCCTTCATTTCCTCTCCCTCTGCCTCATGGGGAGAAGGAACCCTTACTGTTTTCTACCTTAAAGAGAAAGTGCCTGAGCTCGCGTGTCATTGCAGCCCCTCCTCCGGTGTTGTGGGATGGCCTGCAAAACCACACGTTCCGGCACACCGTGTTCTGCCAGGATGGGAACCCCAGCATGGGGCTCTCCGAGTCCTATGACGAGGACCAGCTCTTCTCCTACGACTTCTCCCAGAACACCCGAGTGCCCCGGCTGCCCAACTTTGCGGCCTGGGCTCAGGACAAGGGAGATGCCTCTGCCATTTCATTTGATAAAGACTTTTGCCAGACCTTGGTCCAGCAAGTGGGCCCCCAGCTTGAAGGAGTGATCCCAGTGTCCAGAGGTCAGGAACGAGGAGTGGAGTTGGGGGGCGGGAGGTGCTGTGGTCTTACTCCCCCAAACGTCTCCTTTCCTTCATCCCCCATCTTTCACACCTCCTGGTTCTGCTCGGGGCTTTTCTTTGCTGCTTCGCCGCTTCTCCCCATCGGCGACGTTGTACAGCTGGACGCTGTCTGCTGGGGGAAGCAGACGGTCGAAGGCACTGAAAATTCAGCGAACTGATGAAGCTACAGAGGCCAGTTGGCCCCACTGAACGAAAGTCAGCACCCTTGTCCCTGTGCCAGCAAGATGGCTGGGAGAATGGAGAGGGATCCGGGGGTGAACTTCACCAGAAGGCAGTGTCAGACGCCAACCTGGTGACAGACAGACAGGAAGTCAACCTGGATACAGACAGGAAGTCAGGCAGAGGGCTCCACAGGGTCCTAGCTGCAATTGCTGCTGGGAACTCCCTTCCCAGAGCCCCAGATGTCTCCATCTGTCTCGGCTCCACCTCTATCCTTCCCTCTGCGTGTCTCAACTCTCCCAACAGTGGCGCTGTCTGAATGCTTCCCTTCTTTCCCTGGCACCTGTCCCCTGCCACCAGGTTTGCCTGTGCCTGAGGTGTACACACTGAAGCCGCTGGAGTTCGGCAAGCCCAACACACTGGTCTGCTTCATCAGCAACCTCTTTCCGCCGACCTTGACTGTGACCTGGCAACACCACTTGGTCCCCGTGGAGGGGGCCAGCCCCACGTACATCTCAGCCATCGACGGGCTCACCTTCCAGGCTTTCTCTTATTTAAACTTTACACCGGAGCCCTTTGACCTTTACTCCTGTGTCGTGACACACGAGATTGATAGCTACACACCAATTGCCCACTGGGGTGAGGCCCTTTCCCCTGGAAGTCTGGTCCCTTGGGTGGGAAGGCTCGAGCCCATGGGAGGGGCTTCTTTTGCTGGGACATCTTCGGTTTAGTCTCACTGAAGCTTCCCTGCCTCAGTTCTCCCTTGTTGATCCCTAAGTCCCTCTGGGCAGAGTGCCCCCCAGCCGGGCCTCCAGGCTGACCTGACTCCCTCTGCTCTAGTACCCCAGAACCCCCTGCCTTCAGAGCTCCTAGAGAATGTGCTGTGTGGTGTGGCCTTCGGCCTGGGTGTGCTGGGCATCATCATGGGCATTGCCTTCTTCATCTGGTCCTGGAAGCCCTGCTCAGTGGGTAAGTCATTTGGGAAAGCGATGCCAGTGTGGGTGTGCCCGTGTGGGTGTGCCAGTGTCGGTGTGCCCGTGTGGGTGTGTCCGTGTGGGTGTGCCAGCGTGGGCGTGCCCGTGTGGGTGTGCCAGCGTGGGTGTGCCAGCGTGGGTGTGCCCTGTGGGTGTGCCTGTGTGGGTGTGTCGGGATTCCCCTCTGCTTTGGGGGGCATACACAGGCCCTTGGTGTAGGGGCCTGTGTGCAGCATGATGGGGACCCTGTTACACACAGTTATTGGGGACCACAGAGATAGCTTCGAGTAGGGGGTGAGGGGACATGAGGACCTGAGGAAAGATGCTTGGAAGGGCAGAGGTGGATACGAAGGGATGGGGAAATGACCAGAATGGGGATGTATGGCGTGAAAGACACAGATAATAAATACAAAGGAGAAGAAAAGATGTTTGGGGATGGCCTGAGATCGAGGACTCAGCTGAGTGTCTGTGAGGTGACGGGGTTCAGGGGAAGAGGGTCCTGGTGACGTTCCTGCACCCTGCTCTCCCCGCAGACTGATTCTTCCTGACCAGAGCTTGGAACAGCACAGGCCTTGCCGGCAGGGATGCCCAGGGTTCTCGTGCCTAAGCAGGGTCTCTCATGGGAGCAGAAGTCCCTGGGATTCTTCAGTGCCAGTGTGCAGGTGTCTCGGCTGAGGGTTCTGTTGACCCTGGACTTGCATCCAGAAGCGACGGAGCCCGGAGCCCAGGGCACCACCCACCACCATCTCATACCTTCCCACTTTGAAGAAATAAACCTTATTTCTTATCGTTAGCTTGACCTCTCCCTCCCGTACTAGGAAAGCATTCTACTGCCAAGCCGCACTCCAGCCCACTGAACTCGGTTAACTTGTGCGATTTGCTTCTGGACCCCCTGACTTGGGTGGCTTGTCATTCAGGTTCAGCCCTGGACACAGCACATCAGGGAGGGAAGTGGGAAAGTCCCTCTCCCAGCTGTCCCGGCTTCTGTCCCCCGATCTCAGCATAGCTGATGATGGCTTTATCCCACCAACTTATGTAAACACATAAGACAGGGAGGTAGAGAGAATCTTCATTAACCAATAAAGAGGTTGAGGAGTTGCGTGTGCCTTTGGTTCTCTCTGTGCTATGTCTCCAGTGAAGCTGTTTGACTTTCAGCCCCCTGGGAAATCAGCTCAGGGCTAGCAGGGCCTGCCTCTAGCTGCTCTCTGATTGGTCTGATCACTTCAGTACAGCCGTCCTCTTTGATCCTGAGGTGAAGCAGAGCAGCTGGCAAGGGCAAGGACAGAGACGCACATGTCTTCCAAGTATGTGTTCAGTACCCTCAGGAATTCTCTCAGGGCAGCTGTGGGGCACTGTCCCAGGCGGATGGTGGGGGCTGGCGGCACACGACCACGGCTGTGTGGGGGTGGCTCTGGTGGCAGCTGAGCCTAACTCATGAAGTTAGCTTGGTTCTGGCAAGGCCATCTCTGATTTTCATACTGTATCAGAGTCTAAGGGAAACCATCCAGTTCGTCCCAGGCCTTGGCTCTTCGCCGAGACCATGTCGTTTCTAAGAGCCTGTACTGACTGACAAAGACTGTGGGAACGCACGGCTGTCCGAGTTTCACTGTGTGCTCTTGGATGAGTGACTTGCTGTCTCTGTTCTTCACGTCAGTGAAGGATAGCAATGGTGTCCCCTGAAGAGCTATTGTAACCCCAACGTGTGTGTGTGTGTATGTGTGTGTGTGTGTGTGCTCTGTCTTCTCTTTTCATTTTCCACATGTACACACGCTTTTGCACGTGTGTGTGGTTACACAGCCATGTGGGAGGTAGATAAAGGAATCCTCTCTCCTCCTTCCATCTCCCACCTTCCACACTGAGACAGAGGCTCTCATTCAAACCTAGAGCTCACCCACGTGGCTGGTCTTGCGAGCCAGCCTGCTCCGAGCATTGCCCCTCTCTGACCTCTGAGGCTGGAGTTACCAGTGGGCCACCGCGTCTCCCTGGACTTTCCATGGGCTTTGGGGATCAGAACTCTGGCCCTCATACTGTGCGGCCAGAGCTTTAGCTGCCAGCCCCTCATGCATGCTGGGTAAGTGCTCTAACCACTGGCCAGCACTGCCAGTCCTGTGAATCTTAGTACCTGACGAATGCTGAGAAGACCTTCACGGGGAGAATGGGCAGGAGACAGCGTTGTTGCCATCTGTCCGCAGCGCCACAGAACCTAAGGACGCCAGAAAATTCCTTCTGCCTCTCAATTTCCTTAATTTTTAAAAACTTGTGTATGTATGGGTGTCTGACCTGCCTATACGTCTGTGTACCACATGTGTGTCCGGTGCCCTCAGAAGCAGAAGGAGGCATCAGACGCCCTGGTTCTGGAGCTACACACGGACGTAAGCCGTCGCGTGGGTGTTGGAATCTATCCTGGTTCCTCCTGAAGAGCAGCCAGTGCTCTTAACCGCTGAGCCGTCTCTCCAGTCCGGTTCAGCTCTGTCTTCAGTATTTGATTTTCTCCCTTGGAGATGGTTTTGTTTTTGTTCTTCTTTTACCTTTGTAGATCTGGTCCGTACTGCTTTCTGGTTTCTGTTCTACTTCAAATGTATCCAGCAATTTCCTGCCAATCAAAGCTTAAAACTGATTTTATTATTACTATTACTTACTATTATTGTTATTATTACTATTATTAATTTTTTTGTGGCAGGGTCTCACTGTATGGTTCTGGTGAACCTGAAACTTATCATGTAGACCAGGCTGGCCTTGAACTCACAGAGATCCACCATCCTGAGTAGATTAAACATGTGGCACCTCCCGGATTCTTACCTGCTGTATCTAACTCTAGCTAACTCCTCTCCGAGCCTCAAGTTCCTGCTCCACCAGATGACAGGCTTGGAGGAAATGGTCATTGATCAAGTGAGTGGGTGATAAGGTCCGCAGCTGGCCTTAAGCTTGCTGTGCAGGGGTAGTAACCCTCATCCATCCTGCATCCTGCACCCCCAGCTGCTGGGATTACAGGCGGGCACCACCCCGTTTGCCTCTCTCATCAGCCAGGCTTAGCTTCTGGATCACATGAGGGTGAGTGCATCAATTGGAGGGATGTGCACCCCTGTAGAGCACTCAAGGATACCCTGCTTAAGCTAGACGCATCCTAAACTGTCCGGTTCTCTCTCCCTTGAGTTGAAATCCCTTGTAGACCTCGAACTCCCAGTGTAGCTGAGGACAGCTTTGAATTCTTGCTCCTCCTGCTCCTCCCCCAAGTGCTGGGATTGCCTAGATGTGGTGGCACCTTCTCCTAGTGCAGAAAAGCTACCCAGCAGGAATCCCATTTTTGGGCAAATTCCTCATTCTTCCCTGGTGGAGCCATGCCTGTCTTCACTGTAGCTTGTTCCTGTCTCAACCAACGCCAGTCCAGCCCACACTCCGCCCTGAGGAAGCTGCCCCCAAGCCTCCCGTGTCTACTGTATCTTTATTCCAACTCTCAAGGGCAGACTTTTCAGGGTAATGATACTGTTTCCTGATCATGACTTTTTACCAACAAGTTTGCAATTCTCAGTTCAGAGTTCAGAGGTCAGAGGTCAGAGAGCGGTTATTAGAGCAAGACGGCTGCTATTGTCCCGCTAACACCAGGAGTCACTGGTAGTGAGGTGGGTGCTGGTAGAATCTCTTAGAGTTGGGGTTTTTTATATTGGTTATGAGGCTGAACACCTCTCCACGGTTCCTTTCTCTTTCAGTTACAGATCTAGACATTTTTGTCAGCTTTTGTCATTTTTGAGACAGAGTCTCACGTAGCTTGGATGATCCTGGATTCCTGATCCCAGTTCCCAGCTCCCAAGTGCTGAGGTTTCTGGATTCCGTCACCACACCACTCTATTCTGCCAATTTTAAAACTGTATTTTCAGGTTTCTTTTCTTTTTTACCTTCTGGGAACGAGCTATTCTATGCAGTGACTTGGGACAGGATGGGTACAGAAAATGCTTCTCCCGGGCATTGTGGCACACACCTGTAATCCCAGCACCAGGGAGGCTGTCTCAAAAACAAAACAAAACAAAAGTTTTCCAGTTGGCCATTCACCAGTGAAGTCTGCGTGCCATTGACTCCTGACTCCCTGAGCAGAGCTGTTTAATTCTAGCTCTCAGAGCCCTGTGATCTGGTCCACGCTGCTGGTTTTATATGGTAAGGGATTGACTGGTCCAGCATTTTTTTCTGTCATAAAATGGGATCTTGAGTTAAAACCATGTGTCCAGAAGAGGAAGCTGAGAGCTTACAGAGAATGAATTTAGGAAATGCCTAGAAGAGACTCATATGGTTAAGATCACACTCAAGCCACATCTGTAACTTCCCTCAATGTCCAACTCCAGTGACAGTATCAATACCGGCACAGCCCTGCCAGGCTGGGGAGCTCCCCCTTCCTGCTGAACCCAGCCTGCTAGCCAGGGTCTGCCTCCACCCCCTCCACGGAGACGCCCTGCCCACCTTGCCTGCCATGACCTCTCTTCCGGCCTTCCTGCTAACTAGCTTTGACGGCAGGTGTTCCTCCGCTTCCTACTGGCCTCAAATGGGATGATGTGGGGCTGAGAGCCCATATTTCCCAGCTATGGCAGATGATTCCCTATATTAATAAGTTGCACATAAACCCCAGGGTTACCCACTGCAGGCATGTGGGAACGAGGCTGCGCGCGGTGTGTGTCTCGGGAGGGGGGGATTGAAGACTCAGCGTGTGGGTCTTCACATAGAGGTGCTGAAAGCACACGGGACCCTGGCTGGGGGTCCTGTTCCTGTGTAATGATAAAGTGACGGAGGACAGGGCAGCCGAGGTGCCCGAACCAATTGGGAGATCACAGTTGCATCTGTAACAGAAGAGGGGCCAGGGGAGCGAGGAAGCGCTTTGCTGAGCACAGGTCTCTGGGTTTTCCGACTCTAAAAACCTCCCTCGCATTTTCACATGAATATGGAAGTGAAATCTCCTACTGCATCCTGTGGTGTCTCAGGAGGTTTCACATCTACTTTGACTGCTGGGGTAGAGAGCTGGACACCGGAGGGGACTCCACGCAGTCTCCGCCATGGCCACGCCCACGAGGGTGCAGGCACAGTAGGGCTTCTCTCAGGGCTGGAAGTGGGGACGCAGAAAAGGGTGCCAAGCGCTGATTCCTGCAAGGGGAGGAAGGCATTCTGGGAAAGGTGGTGGCTGGGAACCACACTGATCTGAAGTTGTCCTAACAGCAAGTAGAAGAACCTGAGACTCCCAGAGCAGAAAGAGCTCTGAGCCGGGCGGTTGGGGTGGACGGTGGCAGGAGGGGTTGGGTGGACGGTGGCTCCTCTCTTCCTCCTTTTCTTAGCAGCTGTATCACGAACTTCCGTTATTTTGGTTCATCCCAGCCCAGGATGAAGTGAGTGCGTGGGCATAGTTTGTGGTGTGTGTGTCTGTGTGTGTGCAAGTGCATGTGAGAGTGTATATATATGTGTGTGTGTATAGTGTCCATGTGTGTGTATGTGTATGTACATGTGTATATGTGTGTCAGTGTATACATTTGTGTGTTTTTCTGTAGTGTGTGCTTGCATGTGTGTGCATGTATGGTCTGTGCATATGTGTATATATGTATGCATATGTGCATATGTATGTATGTGTGTGTATATGTGTGTGAGTGTGTGTATGGTCTGTGTGTATGTATGTGTGTGAGCATGTGTATATGGTCTATGTGTATAAATATACATGTGTGTATATGGTCTGTGTGTATGTGTATGTATGTGTGTGTGTGCATGCGTGCATAGGAGTTGTATAAGGAAAGGTGTTGAATCCTCTAAACTTGAGCTGTGAAC